ATGTTCTGAGCTCATTTTAACTACACCTATTGACTTTAAAAGCTATAATAAATGTCTGGGTGGGATAATAAGGTGATACTAGCAGAAGGAGAATAAGTGAGTCCAAATGAATCTATTCCATCACAAACATGACTAGAAAGACCACCCAGGGAGCTTCACCATTGAATAGAGATTTGAAAATAGGCCTCCAGTTACCAAAATTTAGAATAACCCGTTCAGATATGTGGTTATTATTGACTCAAATAGTGCACAATTTATTGTGAACACAAGAGGAAATTGATGTTTTCCTTTCATGGATGATGATAATTAATCACAAAGTCACAACTATGGCAATGAAACTCCAAGCTGAGACCGAGATCTACTTGTAATTATGTTGTTTTAATTGTGTTCCTAAGGACCGCAAGGCCATCCTTTTTTAGGCCAGAGTGGGGCATATTATGTCTATTGTGTGATATGTTCTTTTTAGTTTTTGGATGGTATTCTGAATCGTCATTCTGAATACTCAGTTATTCAGTTTATTTATGTTCTTCCTTGCACACCAGGACAGGAAGAATCACTGATGAGCATATTCTGTTTCTCTCCAGTAGCTTGGAGTTCTTCTCTCCCAGATTATATAACCTGGCATTGCTCTACCAAAGCAGGTCTGGAAAATGAACCAGTTGCCTAGTAGAAGCATCTTCACCAAATGCAAAATCCACATGTCAAAATTCCAAAAATATTTGGCATCTGTGTCGATACATTTTTCAGTGTTGGACATTCTTCCTTGTTTCCATGTTTCTTCTGAACTGCACTTTGGCTATCAGAGAGCAATTCTTAGAAAAATTGGTTTCTAATTGGTTTCACGATTATTTTATGGAGCCTGATAAATGCAGATGTTTTAGGTTAGTTTGTATTATCAGAAGAAACTGAGAAGTTTTAATGTTTATTTTCCAAAATTATGGGTGTTTGTGCCAGGTCCATTAATCTGGCCTAAGTATTTTGAGAATATGATCCTTCCTTCCCTTTCTCCTTCTTTTAAGTTGTGCTTAAGAAATTATTATATTAAATTGGAACCATGCTCTCCTCAAATTATTTTACAGGTGTGGTTTGAAGGCCATCTTTTGAGCAGACTTTCTTCACCACCATGTTTTTGTAGGAAAAGATCCCTCTTAGATGGTTTTAGTTCCTAGATGGATTAGTGGATTGAGCAATGAATGTCTTGCCTGTAGAGCACAATAATTTCTACTGGTATTGCTGTGAGAAAAGGTGGTGTTTGTCTCTCGTCATGCACATTGGACTTGTCAGAAACATCCTTTTCTTCCTAACCATTAAGTTAAAAAGAATTGGGGAAAAAAAGGTCAGGTTGCACATTAAAGATCACCATTAAGGTGTGCTTGAAACTATCCTTTATATTCTAACATGTTATGTCTTTGTTTCACAGCTATATAAGAATCCATGCAACGTGAATCAATATGGAGGGAGATTCTTCAGCTTGGGATCCATGGTATATTTGTGTGTGTGTTCTGTTGCGTTACATGACTCTTGGCTGTTTCTGAGGTTTATGATTCCTTTGAGGCAGCACTCTAACATGGGGTTTCCCAAGGCTACCTCGCTCATCTCTGTGCTCCACCTCTGGGGATGGATAGCCCCAGATGCTGGGATGGGGTGAAGTCAGAGTAGGATGAGAATGTGATGGGTTGCATGGCTGAAGCGTGGTCCCAGGGCCTGGTCTTTCTGGTTTTAGTTTTATTTCTGTTTGTTTTGATCGTTGTATATGTTGTCTTTATTGCTGGGTTGAAGGCCGCCCAGAATGAGATTTTAAGATGGGAGGGTATATAACCGAGAGAGATGAAAGAGAGATGAAAGCG